AGAGCAGTTGGCATCCTTTCTGAGTCAGAACACAATAAAAAAGGGGAAAAAGTATTGGAAGGCATATATGTGTACGGAGTATTGTGAATTCTGCAGACACTTTAGTTTCCATCAGTCAGAACAACAGTATCTTTCTCACCACTATAAATGAGCTGTTTTATGAATTTTGAGTAAGTGTTTTACTGAGTGAAAGGCATCTTTATCCTAAGTAGCAGCTAAGAATATTGGTAAAACTAAATAATAATAAACAAAATAAAACCAACTAAAATATAATCAAAGAACCCAACCCACCAGTACAAAGTAAAGGCAGTCTAGGTCATTCCAACCAATCACAGGAATAACTATTTTTAATTGCAACTAATGTGCTATCTTGATCCAGCTGCTTATTCTAACAGGCCTGAGGTTTACTGCTCATAAAGCATTAATAATATGTGCCTTTTCCTAGAAAGGAAGGCTCTGCCTAAGACTTACTGTGTCAGATAAAAAGTCCCAAAATAGACTTTTCAACCAAATAAAGTGTTTTATTCAGATATTCACTTGGATATAGTAGTGATGTTAAGAACAGCTATTCAAGAAGCTGAAGTAAGCCCTTCAAAAGAAGTCACACAGCTTTGAGACTTGAACAAATTATTGCATGATCTCATCCAAGAGAACTGAATAGCTGGAACGTGTGCAAGAGTCACCATCAATTTATTTAGCCAAGTTCATCAGTAGTTCATCAGCTCTGTTTGCACAAGCAGGTGCCAGGACATTCAATAAGGAGACCTATACATGACTTAAAGAGAGGAGAGGGGGAGGAGAGTGGAAGAGAGATAGGTGATTTTACTATGTAACATAGATGTGTGTTAGCAGGAATAAAGTTCCTCTCAATTAGGGCAGTGCCTTTTACGGAAGGAGAAGTGCAGAAATTCTTTTTCCCAGAGAAGTATTACATGCACAAGTAACTATATTGTTAAATTGTTTTTATTTGTGACAGTAAAGAAACCATTCAATACCTGATTGACAACACCTCTCTTTCCTGAAAACACTCATACGCTATCCGTAGTGTTTCTCAAGTATCACTGGATTGTTCATTGCATTAAACTGTAAACAGCTCCATTATTAGGAAAAAAACCCCACCAAAACCCAGGGAAAAAAAAGAAACAAAAAGAAACATTTCCATCGCTTACTCCTCTGTTAAGAAGTTCCCAATAAAGCATGAACAAGAATGAAGATTAAAAAAAAGAAGTAGTCAGCTGGGTTTTTACAATATAATGTGAAACAGAAAACTGACAGCTGGTTTTGCATAGTTAGCCCAGAGATTTTTAAGCAACTGCCCCACGCAAGTCTCACCTGCCCCCCTCACCCCACAAAGGCATAAACAACATCACAGCACCTTGGAAATCAGAGGCACAAACTTGGTTTTGTTTTACAAATAGGGCTGTGCGGTACTGTCTTTTATTAGTTTAAAAAGAATCTGTAAAACATAGGATTATGTGTTTGCAAATTATATAGCTACAGATTTTTTTTTACACTGAAATTTCAAAAGCTGCAACATCCATACACACCAGTGTCATTTAGATACTTTATTGTCCCCAACCAGTCTAATCAAAATCATGCTGTGATAAAGTGATTGCATACACTGATAACCAAACGTCTTCAGGTGTTGAGTTTCTTCCATATATAGTCTTGCTGTTCAAAGAAAAGATTAAAGGGCAAAACAAATAGACAAATTATTCTTCCAAAGCTACCTAAATGAACACAGCAACATTGTACATTTGCTACGATCCTCCCTTCAAAACCTGCCACGCTTCCTGGTGGTTAACAAGTATTCTGCGCACAGCCCTAGTTTACAAATGGCAATTTAATCATAACACTTCAGTTGAATTTCAAGAATCTAAGGCATTCTGCCTTACAGTTTAAGTTAAAAATACCCATACAGGCAAAAAACCTTTTTTAACCCAACATAAAAAGGACAACAGAACTTCAGGCCAGGCAGCGTTTCTTTAGCTGAACAGAATGACCAACTGGAAAAGACTTTTTAATATTTCTATAATATCCAGAAACAGAATTGAAACCCAAGGTTTATAACAACCCTGGTAACCTGCATGCATTAACTGCACTTCAAAATACGCAAGAGCTTTAGGAAACAAGTATTTTTTCCTATTTAAAATACAATCAAATACCCGTATTGCAAATTTTACAAACATTCCATTCATTTTCTGACTTTATGGACAGAACCATATTGCTTTGTTAAAATCTAGAAACTCTAACTATATAGCGTATGTATAGTCACGCAAACTTAACACTTGAAATTTCAAGTACGATGATAGTGTCAAAATAAACCACTACGACAGTTTGATCCCTTTGGCCAAATTTGATTACCCAGGGAAATCCAAACCTGACTGCAGAGCACTCCAAGTTTTACTTCAATGGGAGTGAGTTAAAACACCAGTATTTTTAATCAGAAGTTACAGAAAATACTCAAGATACTAGCAGAGATCTAAACCGTTGCTAAGTTTTTTTCCTTTATATTGTCACCAAGTGTCATATTAAGTTAAAATAAATTGTTTTTTTGAAATTTGATGATTTCAAGAGCCAAAATGAATGATACAGAACAAGTAGAGAACACCATCAGAACCGTTCTTCCAGAAGCTGGTGCAGAAGTTCAGTTGCCCATTATATGTGGATTTTAAAACAATACAAGACACTTTAATAATCAACATTCATTCACAGACTTAAGGCAACTGGTTCATGAAATCGCTGCTTTCATAAATGCAAACTAATGACATGGTTTGTCTCACGTACAACAGGTCACAACCGTTACATGGTAATGTCTCGGTGGGGTTATTTATTGTCTAATTGGAAGATTGTTTGGTCTAATGCTAGCAAGAAATCTTTGAATTTTTTCAGCCATTCCTATCATACCTGCACAACTAACTACAACCTGAATACTTCCCTGCAAACTGTATTTGAAGCCTAGAAGCTACAAACACAGTTGAAAATACTGCTCAGAGAACAACTTTTTGGCAGCTTACAGTTTCATTACTCTGAAGTCAAATACAAAATTAAACAATCTTAAACTGAAAGTAAACGTTAATGGACTAACCAGAATCCATACGTCCTTTTTTTTTCTTTTTAATTTTCTAAACAATGTACTTTTCTTTTTTAATGTGACAGTTTTGTCTTTTGTTGTGGCACAGGATTATACAGTACTAAGGTAATGCCAACTGGTAAGAAAACAGAACGGTGATGCCGTACAGACTCACGAGTGTCATGCGACTGCCTCCAATATCCCTTGCTACCAGACACAGTGAGCAGCTGGTGCACAGCTGCCCTGCAAGGGGCCAAAGTCATCTTTCAGTTTTATACTGCACCTACGACAACCTACTCACTGCCTGTGTAGGCTGGCCTGCCCTTCTATGAAGGAATTTGTTAAGCTGCTTCACCAATGTTTTAGACAAGGATGGTAATTCCAAGTCCTTTGCAAAAATGAGAAAAATAGAAAAGGCAAAGGGGGATCTACTGTTCAGAATTTAGCACTAGGCTAATCAGAAGCACCAATTACACTAAAGTTTTCTCAGACAACAGCCAAACACAGCTGTAATTTTTATGTTTGTAGGTTTCTGGTGCGTACAATAATTAAAAGGTGACACTGGTTAAGTGGGATAAAAAAAAGGCATGCCTTGTTCTTCAAAGGCATAAAATATTTGAAGGTTATTCTTCTGAAAGGGATCTATGACAATACAGAAGATGCTAAGCAGGTTCTCAGATTCAGAGATGAGACTTACTGAACTCCAAAGTGAGAGGACCAACTTTAGCCTAGGCTAGCAACTTCTGCCCTTTTTTAGCAAGACTCGATAAAGCTCCTGATCTGCACCATACACCTTGGGGAAGAAGAAATATGAACCAGAGATGTGGGAAAAATATTTTTTGCATTTTTATATATCAAAGAAAAGAGAGGGCTTCATCCCAACTGAAAAAAAAAAAAAACAACCAGTAATAATTAAAAAAAAATAATCTTTTACAGGTCACCTTTAACTGATTTTTCTGGTATATCAGATACCATGGGATTAATACATTGGGGTGGGTTATGAAGCCTGCATTTTATTTATTGCCCAAGTTTGCAGCTTACAGAAAATGTTTCATAGCACAGGCACAGTGGCAAAAACAGTTTAACAGCCGATGGTCAACTCCATTTGGTGAGTATACAGTAGCAGCAATTAAAAGAAAAAAGTACTCCAAACAGCTCAATACAGATCCAGCTTACCCAGATTTTTTTGTGTGTGGTTTTTTTTTTAAGAAAAGAATCTTAAAACTAATAAATAGATCTCCTCCCCATTCTTCCAAGATAATGGTTTTCAAAAAAACAAGAGGCCTGGCAGTTGTGCGTAAGCAGAGACAATAGAACTTCATCTGTTTAGAATAAAAGGTGCTTTAGATCTATTAGCCACCTCATTTTCTCAATTCCATCATTCCCTAATACTCAAACAACTGCAGATATGTTCAAAACTGTGCCCAAAATCATCGGTGAAAACACCATGTAATTAATCGAAATCACCCCTCCCACAAACACTGAAACCTTCTGAGCATGACAAAATGTAATACAACTTAATGTCATCGTGGAGACAGGAACCCAGCATCTTTGTTTCAACTTTTTCCTTTGTTATATATTACAGTGCTCTATAAAATTTTTCCTTTTTCCTTTTAAAGCATTTAGACAATACAAGACTAAAAGATGTCTGGAAATACGTCTTATACAAAAATGAATTTTTATCTTAAAATAACATTCAAAAAGGCACTTCATTCTGTAAGAAAAAATTCAGAGTCAGGTCAACTGCTCTAAGCAGGGGGGTAAAATTGTCTGCATAGTGGGAGGGGAAGAAAGGGAGAGAAATTCAACTGCTGAAATACAAGCTTCTTTTTTGGCATGTTTTAAGAAAAGCTGATCCAGTAAAAGATGTCCATTTATGAAATTCATTAAAAGAGTCCCATTTAAAATAGCTTTTTTTTTTTTTTTCCTTTAAAAAAGTAGTCTGAACACATGACCTTAGGAGTCAGGCTTCTGAAGGCTTAACAGCATCACTCATGATTGTCCTTCGTGTCCAATGTAACAGGAAGATCAAGAGTAGCACTTCTGACAGGGGTGACCTCCCCAAAGCTTACATTTGAAAGAGCTGAAAGAGATGGAGACAGCCTCTATCTGCTAGTAGCAGAAGTCAGTTCAAGTTAAGGGCTACCTGTTGCAGAGTTTATGAAGCATACTGTAAACTTCTTCCTCTTTGCTTAGTCCTTCAAAGAAAGGAATAAGATCTAGCAGCTCTGTGTCTGTCATGTCATCAAACCAGGACTGCACAGGCACCTGAAACAAAGCAAGCAGCAAATACTAAGATGACTTCATGATGTGAAGAACACATAAATTTTGCCTGTGTAGGTGCCCTGTAATACTCATTGCCATCAAAGTAAGGCAAAGTGCTGGTCATTAGCATTTAAGCCAAGCACCAGGTTCAAGTCACAGGATGGTCTGGGTTGGAAGGGACCTTAGAGATCACCTAGTTCCAAGCCTTCTGCCATGGGCAGGAACACCTTCCACTAGACCAGGTTGCTCCAAGCCCCGTCCAACCTGGCCTTGAACACTGCCAGGGATGGGGCAGCCACAGCTTCTCTGGGCAACCTGCGCCAGTGTCTCACCACCCTCACAGGGATATGTAATTAATAAGTTCACCAAATCAAACTGTAAAATAGCTGACCTTCCAAACTGAACTGTAAAACAGTTGACATGCAGCTGACCTTCTAGATGTCCAGATAACCTACATTACCCAACACTTGACAGCTGAATTTGCTCTGCAGCCTTGATATTCACAATAGACTAGAAGGAAGATACAGGTTATGAAGCTGTGCTGACACTTTATTTACAGGCAAGTCTTTTTTTCCCTGTCTAAGTATTATCAGTGTGAGTCACTAAACATAGGCATACAGCAGCAACCCCCTTCTGGCATGACGTTGCAGAGGAAATATTTAAACAGTGAGTACAGAACAGTTCTCTGATTAAAATATAAGACCCTAAAAGTGGGTTCAGAAAATAACGCATATAACACCACTTCTTAAATATGTGGGCTGGATTTGGGTAAGGAGTTCTGTGTATCTTCACTATGGAAGTATACTGAGGTCTTTTAAAGACTATCTTGGATCTTGTTACAAGCTCTGGTTTCTGCAGAGACTCGACCATCAGCTAGCAGCACTTTTCTAAACATGATTAAACCACTCTGACAAGGCCTTTAATTTCATCTCCCAAATTTCTACAGCTCATTATTTTCCTGGCACTGAATTCTGAGATGGCAAGTGATGATCTGGATTAGGGTTTTAATTTTAACCATGAACATAAATTACAGTTACAGCTCCAGGTTATTATAAATAGCAACTGTAAGCCGTGTGTGGCACCAACCAGAAAACTGTTTTCACCGATCACTTGGGGCATCACAGTATTAGGATCTGATCTTAAAAGCTGACTGCTGCAAGATAAATAGCTCACATTAAAAAAAAAGCTATCCAGAGAGGTAGGACCACGCAAAACGGTGTTCCTGATAGAAATTTCCTACATTAATTTTAACAGTTCACAGAAAAGGCAGCCTAGAAACATCAAAGAAAACACTGCACAGCCTGGTTGTTTAAAAGTCAGTAGATCTAAGGGGAGTTCCAGCTTGCTATCCTGGCAGCTACAAAACAGATGTGAGCGTCTGTACTGACTGGAGCAACGGATGGAGCAAGTGCCAGACCATTCCACCACAGCTTCTGGAGTTGATATGAAACACAGTTAAAATGTGCATTGCTCCAAATTATTCTGCCTTGAAGTACGGCTGCTTGCCTTTTATCCTTATTCTGAAAACTTGATGAACTTGTCGACTAACATTTCTAATTACAAAGTGAGTTATCACAAAAATACTTAGAAGCATAACACCACAACAGGATCTTGATTTTTTAATTCCCCTTAGCCACGAATACAGAACTCTGATAGTAACCAGTAAAGCATTAATTATCTTGTCTAATAAAATGTTTTCATTCACATAATGAAAAAAGATGGAGTACCAAAAACAGTTCAAGTAAATTATTCTTTCTGAAATCACCAGTCCGAAGAACAAAAGACTATGCTGGAAGGCAGCTTTGCTTTTTAGAGCTACTTTAGTTTTTCAGGTTCTGCACTGCTTGGTACTTCTCAAAACTGACTGACTTCAGGCCAAAAGTTAAAACTGAAAGCAACCAGTTACGATAATACGCACTGTCAAGATCAGTTTTGCCCTAGTCCTTTACCATTTGGCAGTGAACACCAGAACCTACCTACAGCCTAAAAAAATACAGAAACTAATACACGTTAGTGTTCTGAAAGGCTATTTTCTGAATCAGGAAGTCTGGGCAAGGATGAGAAAGATAAAAGTAACACTTGAGTACCTCAAATACTAAGAATACTTACTGCATTTTCAGGATGGAAGATGTAAGATGCAGGAGAATTATCTACTATAATAACTTTACTCAGCTCACGTCCCAGTCGACTCAGATCCTTCACATAATTTCCTCGGTGAAAAACACAGGATTCTCTAAAGAGCCTTGCCCTGAACACACCCCAGCGATCCAGTAAGTCAGCTACTGGGTCTGCATACTTAAAAATAGAAGTTAGAAACATGAAGTTAGCAATGTGCAGACAAAGCTAATTCACAGAACTGTACAAAGGGACGTAATTTCAGATAAAATGCTCTTTCTTCAATTTCTTCCCTGCTCCTTGTTAATTAACTTACATGCCTGCAAACCTGAAGTGATTAATAGAGAGAGAACATGAAAGTAGATGGTTATCTTTCTGTGGAAGGCTAACTTGCACTCTAATGCTTTCTGTGATTTATCGATTGGGTTTTATTCTTAGAGCCAACTTATAGTTACCCTAGGAGTTACCTAAAAGTTGATGGATCCAGAGATCTTGCCTATCATTACCATAAAACCAGCCAATATTAACAGAAAAATTATACAAAGCCATTTCCAGAGCCAATTCACTCCTATGTGCCTCTGAAGATTAACTGCAACGAATGCATCTCAGCTTGATGTAGCTTTGGCAAATGATATACTTGGAGCAACTGGGTCAGTAAGAATCTTAAGATCATCAAATTGCATAAATGGACCATAAAAGACCAGACAAAGATGTTCTTAGGAAAAATATCCGCGTACAATAGTTGGAAATTCTCATTTTATATACAAGATGATACTTTAAGTGAGGCACAGCTTCAAAGCCAACAATTGATATAAAGTGCCCAAGGAAAAATACCCAAATAAACTAGAACATGAAATAACCATGTACTTGAAAATGGTAGTTATAACTTATTTTTGCAGGATAGGAGTTACCACTTTCCTATATTTTAAACCAAGAAACAAAACTGATGTCAAAATCAATCATCTTTCCTGACTATGTCAACTGCCAGACATGTAACTGAAGTATGAAATTGTTCCCTTTTTTAGGATTTTCACAATGTGACTGAACAGAACATGGTAAACAGAGCGCAGGGAAAAATTCTCTGATAGAAGGCACTAAAGCAGATCAAACAGGGTCCTGTCCCCTTCCACCATCTCTACACTAAGCTGAAGTAAAAGCTTTACCATGCTAGAGTATTATTTAGAAATAAGCAATATAATTTTACAAACAAGATGCCACAAACACAGTACACTGAAACAAGTGAAGAATTTAAGATGTCTACTACGGTCATGTCTACCACAAAACTACCTACGAGGTTCTACTGCTACTGGAGACCAGAGGGCACAAAATATTCCTGTTGATGATTCAAGCTTTGCAAAACGTCTAATTTTCTAACTCCAGATTGCAACTGCACCTTGACAGAACAAAAACATGTTCCAAATTTTCAGATGCAGTGAATTTCTGAATCATTGGTTGATCGTGTAGATAGCATTAAATACAGTGTGTTTTATTTCATGCCCAGCTTTAATACAGTGCTTTACTCACACGCTATTTGTTCTAATTTCTCACTATAACCATGGTAACTTGTGTAAGCCTTTCATATTGGCATTATGAGCAATGCATGGAGGCTACATTATGAGACAAGCCCATATGCGATGGGGTTACCATGGAAACACTTACCCACACACTAGCAGACAAAGTACACACTGTCAGACAAAGAAGCAGAAAAGAAGGGAAAAAATTAAGATAGTACCAACTATGGAAATAATTATCCACAGAAAACCCAACCACAAGTCCGCTGACCAGCACCAAATGGGCTAATGAGATGAAGAGCAGAACAAACCTTGGCTAGACTGGCTGTGAAGAGTACACATTCAAAGAGCTCTCCCATCCTCTGAAGAAACTCATCCACATGTGGTCGTTTCAATACATAAACCTAGAATGATAATGACTATTTAGGTCAAATGGTGCTTAAGGTAAAAGAAAAGGAAAGAAAAGAAAAAAAACAAAAATCAAAACAATACACTCCCTGTAATCCCAATGCTTGACGAAACAAAAGTTTACATGGAAGCAGTTCAAATGAAATGCTGAAAGGAAACAGAAAAGTATACAAGATAAAAGTAGACATCCAATAATGAGAAATTTGAATGCATGGGCTGCCAAGACCCATGCTGATTATGCAATTGCAAACACTGTGCATCATCTGGAGTGATGCTTCTTGAAAAATCTCATTAAAGGCAAAGAGAGACAGTAGGGCTTCTCAAAAAACAAGGATTCAAGATCTCTCAAGTGAATTTGGTGCTGGTGTCTTCAGTCCTGTAGAGCTTTACAGAAGGAATAAATCGGATGAAACCTCTATGAGGATAGGAATTGCACAATAGGGAACAGTTTTCTTCCTGTGGCTAATTCTTCCTTTTCTTTTTCCCCCTCATACCAGGAACCAAACACCATATCACACTACAAAGTTATCAGTTCTGCAATGAGCTTTCATCAAAAATCTTCACAATACCATGCAGAATGTCTAGCAAATGCTGCTTTTAATATCTGGTGGCAAAGGTCTACAGCATCTTCCACTGTGACCCTGCCATAAAGATGGCAAATGCTCAGGATCTCTCCCCTCTGGAGCAGCTTGGTTTCAGCAACACTACACTGCCTTTCTGCATTGACAACCATACGGGCAGCTTGGCTGCCTACTGTCAACAACATAATTAATAGATATGAGAGCCTCCCTGCCTCTCTTCTTAGAGCAAGCAACATTATTTGTGTTCACAGAAAATACCAAGATAAGATAACTGCTGGCCAGGACGCTTCAAAATAGTGCACAATGTAGTGGGAAGCTGAAGAGGGGAGTCTGCTTGAATAGTATTTATCTATCTTGTTGCATTTAGATTAAAAGTTTGAGAGAAAACATCAGCAGCATTTTATCTTCTCTGTTTGGCAAGAAATCCTTAATACTAGAAATTTCAAGCGGAGAAGCCTGGCGTAGAACTGAATTCAGGAAGAATTGGAAGACTGATGCAATTTCAGGAATTTCTTTCTTTGATATGTAGAACTAGATTAATTGCATGTGTTTTACTAGATTTATGTTAATAAAGAGGTAAAAACCACCAGGAACCTAGAGAAAAACCCTGAAGGAGAAAAATATGGAAATGCCAGCCTGAAGCATAACAATAAAAGCCTTTAGCAGAAGAAGAAAAAAAATTGCATAATTGAAACCGAAAACCTCAATCTGAAAGCAAAGTTTCATTAAAAACATATATGATAGAGCTGTACCTTCATGACTAAACCTGAAATGTTAATTACTTTTCCACTTTATGTAGCATACAGCTCACAGTATGAAGACTTTATCTGCTTCAAGTTTATTTCTATGAAGTACTTCTGGCCCCTCAAATTCAAACAATACATTCAAACTTTGATACAGATAATTTATAACCCAAGATTTATTTTGTTTTTTTTTAAACCATAGCACCTAACCAATCAAATAAATGTGACATGTTATCAATTAAAGACAGTTAACAGATGTACTTCAACACCACTCTCTTTCCAGATAATTACCACAGTTTCCTGGATTTCACTAGGCATAAACCAAGTAATTTCCTCTCCTATAACAATGCAATTAATTTTCACTTAAATCTTACTACACAAAGTTATTCTGTAGCATTTCCTTTCCAAATTACACTTTCAACTTAAAGACACTGGTAGAAAGACAATTGCAGTCCCTCTGCATTTCAGTATTTGGGAAAGAGACTATCCAATCTGCCAGTTGTAAGACGAAAGACAGCAGGATGCAAGTTGCTCCATAACTCTATAGTTCCTAATGAAGTTCTTAAATCTTTAGCCTTATTTATAACCTTATACTTATTTTTTAGGGAACAAAAGGGACACACAGAGTCTTAAAAGTCAGTCTTGGATAGTTTATGCTGGAGTTTAGTATTAATTTCCCTTCTAAAACCTTAGTGTTTATAGCCACGGCAAAACAAGTCTCCTCTTTGCTCTCTCTGCCTATCTATGCTTGTGTCAGTGAAGTATTTCCACTTGGAATGTAATTACAAACTCCAAGCCAAGGATATGAACTTTGCTGCTTGCAACATAACCCACCTCCTCCATAAGGAGAGCATACAGTAAATCAATGCAGTAGCTACAAACCGAGAGCTCCTTAACCACAGGCCTGCGGACAGCAGTGGGCTTATATAGGCTTATAAAAGCAAGTATTTGCAATTTTTTTTTTCCAGAACAACAGATCTTAATACTCTCATTATTCTCCTTTATTTTCCTTGAAGTTTTTTTGAGAAGTCCTACTTAGACCCTGGAAGCAACTGCAAGTGTATTGGTATCCTGGGCTACAAAATCTCTTCAGTTTACTTCACATAGAAAGCTTTCTTCAGCTGACAGTGCAGCTCTTTTCTCCTCTTCCTCCTCACTTGGAATTTTTTCCCCTTTACTTTGTTAGCGGCTGGACTTGAATCTCAATGCCGCATGGTTATTTGTGGCTTGGCTTTCTCCTCTGCTGCCCGATGTCTTCAGTTTAAGTCTCTAGACTAACTGGCTCCTGGCATTTTTCTGAGATTTATATACTGTCCTTAAGGCATTAAAAAAAACCCAACTCCAGTTTTTCCTGTATTGTACACTCACTGATATCTTCCTTATCACTGTAAGAATTTAGACAAATACAGTCTTTTTTAAAAATAGATTTAAAATAAACCCTACTTTTAAAATGTAGGCACAAATCAGGCACTAGGCATGTTTTCACAGGATTCTGTACTTAAGGCTGCTAATGGCAGAGCACAAGTAATTATCTTTAATTGTTTTCAAGCATTTGATATTTCCATATACATTTTCTGTACCTCAAAGCAATCTTAACCTAGAAAGACTCCATATCTGTAAAACAAAAAGAGAACCCACCTCGATTTTAATCAATTAATTAGGACACAAGGAATTGCCTTTCAAAACCAGCTTTACAATAACAAAATCTTCAATAATGACAACGAAATCTGCCAATGGCAACTCAAGCTCCTGGAATCTCCTGATTGTGGGCTGGGTGCATCTTCTGAACAGTGAGCTGAAAATAATGTGCATCCTTGAGCCTTGTCTTTCTGGTTCCCACAGTTGTGGTTGCCTCCCAGTGCAAGTAACCAAGAATAGGCCAGCTAGAATGGATACAGCCTATCCTGGATTACTTGAACCAGGCCACAGCCTTCTGTAAGAAAATCAACCAGTTCTGTCCTTTGCAGAAAGGAAGTTTATTATTGGAACAGCGTTTTCCCCCCATCAATAAAAAAACATTTGTACATTACATTCAAAGTATACATACCAAACATTTCTTAGTGAATTTGGACAAAAGACAAAGGACAATCACACTCTACAAATCTCCACTCCTTGGGGATTAATTCCATATTTAACACACAGTTTCTGATCTGGGGCTGTGATTGCTCTGCACTTGTTAAACAGGAAGCATACTCCAAAATAGAGGCCGTGTTCTCACAGAAGTTACGTCAAGGGTACCAAACAGGTTAAACATCTTTCTCCAGTCACTGCTTTCACCCTCAACAAGTTTCCTCCAAAAAGCACTCTCAGTTGCAACATGTTTCACTGGACTTCCCACAGTTTCTCACTTACAATTTGGTTGAGTAGGGGACCAGCTCTGATTTCCTTTTATTCAGAGAACCAAAGAGAAATGAGAGAACTGGCCAGAGGAGTGTCAGCTTGCATTAGAAATGCCCTTTTGTATCTGTGCCATCATTTCCAACACAAAGTGTGGGATTCATCTCCTGTAACTTTAGCTGCCCAGCAAAGGGGTAGATGGGCACAGTCTCTGCAGGCATCTAAAGCCCTGTAACAGAAGAGAGGTGCCACTACACAAGTTATTTCCTTGTAAAATAAAATGACAAATAATTTCTAAAGACAACGTAAATTAAGATACAGAAAGAAAGAGAGACAAGGGGTGTTCTGAAAAGCATTTTTTAATGTAGGGAAGCTGGTTTATCCAAGCACCCTGTAAAACGATGATTTGAATTGTCCTCCTTACAGAAGACCAAGACTCTCTCTGACCTACAGATTACAAATGATATAGGGGAAAATAAACTCCCCAGATTAAAGACAGTCCTTTGAACACCTCTGTTGCACAACAAAAGATGACGATATTTATCATGAACAAAAGTTGTTATCTAAATCAGTCTCAGAACTCCCTCAAGAGTACAGCAACTGATTTTGCTATGACTTCTATTTTTTGTATATAAAATCTGAAGAATCTCATATAATTTCAGATTTCTTTCTCAATGGGCACTTCTGAAATGAGTGTTCTGCATTTGTCTTCAATGGGGTTTCTGTCTGAGGCAGAGTTCAAGTACAACAACAGTCTGGCAGCCAATCTCCTGCTTGGTAACATACAAGGCTTACTGGTAAAGCAGGTAGGGATATGCACTACGGACAGTACGGTCCCACAACACTTCACATATCCTGTGATACTGTAAACAGGTGGAAGTATTTCCCAATGCCAATGAATAATCTTTGAGTATACAAACTGCTTAAGAAAATGGACAAGCATTATACACATGACAAGTTCTGACAGATAAAAATTGTTAATATTGAGTTTTTATGCCCTAAGTGAATAAAAAATTACAGGTTTCAAGTAGGATCCAGTTGTCAAAGCTCTCTAGCCTGTGGTAATGCATGTCAGGCTAAGCCAGAACATCCACATTTGCCCTTTAGATTGTAACAGTTAAAAAAGCCCCAAAAGATTTCTGGATGACAGTACATTACTTTGCCTGCAGAGGTATTACAAACACAGGAATCCAAGACTTCACCTATTCTGCATACCATATAAATTACCTTTATTTGAAGGATCACAAATTCCTTACAATTAACTTCATTTCTACCACCCAGACGCAACCAAGATACTTACCTATTTTGGAGGTTCAGAGCTTGAAATACAAAGGGATTTAGCAATTTCCTTGAAAATTACACAGGCGGTCTCCAGCAAAGCACAGTCAGAGACTAACTTCACTTGACCTTCCCCATCACGATCATCCTTCCTTCTGTCCACGTTTAGGGTATGCACAAATCCACTCCCTTTGACCATTTTTAATTCCTTTTGCCCCCCCATATGCAGTCATCTTGAGTGCTTTAACTGCATTATGTTTGGTGAAGAATCTAAAAGTTTGCAGTAGGGAATGGAAAAGCAACAGGCTTTTAAAGTACTTGACTGTAAATCCCAAAAGGTCTTTTTACTGAGTTTTGTTCCAAGATGCAAATACATAATCTTGACAAGCTAAATGATCACAATCCTAAGCCATTCAAAATTGTTAGGCAACCTATTTAATTCCCTTTCAAAAGCATTCTAGACAGTTTTAGGAGAGAAAATGTCTGCATTACAGCACCAAACACCACTAAAGCCCACATCAAATGAGGACCGATATTATCACAATACAAACCTCCCAAAACATCACTTATGTGTTTTAAGCATTCAGTTCTGGTGAACATTACAGGTTTAAGTACACAAGACACTGTTTTTTAATACATAAACCAGGCACAGTGTAAAAATTGTCAAAGCAACTATCACTCTAAAACACGATTCAGTCCACTGACTGATATTTAGTAATTATTTTAAGAGCGACACTTACATGGATGGTTTTCATAACAGGAAATCAAACAAAACTATGAACTATCTGTATGATATATCAATTGTTCCAAGATCAAAACATGAACCTATTTGTCCAAGTAAAAATAATCCATATAAACCCCAGCATTTAAAAAAATATTTAAAATACTCATTAAGTCACATGCAGGGAAGATCTGCAACTTAGTAACCGCATTGTCTGCAACCTACAACAACCAACAGAAGATAGTTCAAACAACCGGCAGGATTCATATACCAGAAAGGCTCAGCTTCACATTAACTTGTACAACCCATCTCCACCAAGAACTTTAACGTCTGTCTGAAGAGTAAAATGCACGGCACTAATTTATTCCATTCAAAGTTTTCAGAAATGACTACTGATTAAAACCACCAAGCTAAGATACACAAAGCAGACTGATTTTCAAATTATGTCTGTTTTGCATTTACTGAAAATCATTTCACAGAGTCTTAACTGAAGTTCTTGAAGAGTAAGACACAAAAATTATTCTCCTTGCAATTTTGTCCGGAGCTTTTAAAGATGCTGCAGTGTATAAAAAGTTCCATCAGAGGAACTTGAAATTATTTACAGGAAGAAAAGGGACAGAACTTAAAGACTGCCACAAAACCTTATGAAATGTATTTTCTTCCTTTAAACTTTTATAATGCTTTGTCCACATGAATTACATGACCAACATTAAAGCCAACTTATCACCCTTTTCTCTGTGGAGGGAATGAGAAATGAAGTATTTGTAGTTTTTTCTAGGCCCAGCAATGTTTGAAAACCCATCCTTAGATCATTTCCTGTTTGAAAATGCTTTAAAACTGACAAAGAGTCAAGTATTACAGTCCTGAGAGAGATATTCTGGAAATCTGAAAAAGTTAAAATTGATACTTAGTAGTTAGAAACTACCCACCTGATCAAACAGAGATGCCTGTCTGGATGACAGGCATTCCAAGGTACACAGCTTTTGTATTTTGGAAAAGGGCAAGCTATTGAATGTAAAGCAGCAAACAGAGAAAGATAATCCTCTGGGACACTGAGGACAATTCCACTACTAGAACAATGCTAAAGGAACAATGGCACTTACCTGATGTATGGTTCCATCAATTTCAACAGGAACGATGAAATCAGCATTGCTAATTGGCTAGAAAGAATGACAAGGAAATAAATCAACATTAAAACCAAGATAATTAAAGGGAAAATCTTGGAAGGATAAAAGAGTACTTACTTCTCAGGAACAAGTTAATAAGCATTATTGATTATACAGATACACTCTGTGTGTGTGCCCTTTACAAACACAAGTCAGAAGCCTTACACAGCTGTATTCACCAAATACTAAACTTCCCTCTTCTCTCACATTTTGCAGCATCATACAGTGATGCTTTACAAAATATGCTTTACTGCTTGAATAGCCCTCACTACCACCAAGTGTGTTTACCAGTGTGTCTATTTGCATAACTCCTTCTTCAGGTCTGTATGGATGATGGCAAAGAAATTCAGCTATGTGCTTCATGTATTTTTACTTTGGGACCTCAATTAGTAATTAATTCAAAATGAAGACACTGGTAAAAATAATATCTAATGGTTATATTTGAATCAGAAGCTGTAACAAGCCTTAAGTTGCACAGTTAACTGATTCTCAAGACATGACCCCTCAAGAACATGCTATACTCATCAAAATAATAATGTAAAACTGCATTTTTAATTCAAAAGAGAAGAGGAAGCCCACTCTGTCAAAGTCCTTGAATCCACTTTTCTAGCCTGTTCAGTACAACTTATTTTTTAAGACTTACTGTGAAAACTGTTAGTCAAGTAAAATTACTTTTGAATGCAGAAAAGCAAAATGACCGTAAGAATTTCTATGCACGGCAACACCCTCTCTCAGTAGCAAGGTAAGAAGGAAGATGCTTTGATCCGGTATCTGCAAGTGCTGTGTCAGAGGGCAAACGAAAAGCTACACTGAATCTGTGTGTCCTGACCAACCAGTATTGGCAATCAGACTGCCAGAGCAGCTGATGCTGGAAAACTCCGCCCTGTTGATGATGTAAAGAATTCCTCAAACACTTGCAGATAAAAATCTAGATTTTTTTATTTAGCTGACATCAAGCCATTTACAAGATACATCCTCCCTTCTGCTTCTGAAAAGGCCAAGAAGGGAGGCTCCCATCTGTTACCTGCATGAAGCCCCTCACACAGAAGATACTCTGCAGCATCTCTTGACAGTCACAGAACAGGTACACAAAAATGTTTTGAATCTTGAAAGAAACCCAAATGAATTGCCAGTAAGAATCAGCCACCAGTTTTCAAGTGGGTGCCAGCTCTGTGCATACACTTTGAAGAGACTTGCATGCACTTGAAGAATTTATGTATGCATGACTCCCTCAAGCAAGATAAATATTCTGTAGCAGCAGAAAAAGAATAGGTCACTGCAAGTTGCTAAGGTTTTGAAGCCCACTGATAAAACTACAGCTAGGAGTGAACTTTCTTAACAGGAGCAACACCAACCAGGTGTTGGAGAAAACCACATTCTGTTTAGACAACTTCATCTGTGCTAACAAATAAAACTCACCCTTAGATTTTGTAACGCTAAGCAAACTGCTCTTAACTACGCATTTGCTTTCCCCACTTGTACTTCAGGTACTATGTAGCTTTTTTGTTGGCACAAGCGATAAGGAAGAGAGCATGGACTGGGGTTCTGTACTTCATCATGACGGGAAGACAGGAAAAAACTGCAGCAATTTGCTGGATAAAGGTTTCTGGGGTTGCACACGTGAAGCACGTACGTGCCTCCAGTAGGAACCACAGAGACAGAGCATGAACGAAGACAATGTATTCCCATTGAAAATCTTCACTTCAGTTAGAACTGTTTCTATTTAATAAAAAGCTTCAGAGTTTTAAATGTTCTCAAAGTGTTTCACAGCCAGTTTTGAATATGACATTCCAGACTTGCATGTGGTTTAATTAATTTTATACAAAACCATGTTTACTTCTCCTTGAGTCAATAATTTATGAATTTTGCATCTATTATAGTTTTACGATGGGAATGATAACTATACTGTCTATCTATTCCTTTTTTACTGTTGCCAAAGCATCCCAAACTTTATTCCTTTAATATGCACTCAACATGAAAGACTAGTACCTCCTTAGAGTTTCACAAATACGCAGGGGCATAAAAACCAAGAATTACCCTCCTTCAGATGTTACTGCTTTCATAAAAGAGTACTTTAAATATTCTGCCTCTCTGGTTGTGTAAAAAAAAAAAAAAAATTTCTGCATTTGAAATATGAAGCCTATTTCATAACAGAATTATGAATTTTAATACATCAGGTGTTTTAAATAAAGCCTTTTGTACTAAAATTCACAAATTTATGTATGCTTTTGCAGCTTTTAAGTGGGGACCTGCTTGGAAGAGCAGACAGGTTCTCATGGAGGGCAAAAAACCCTAACCAAAACACAAACCAAAAAAACCTGAAAGAAACTGCAAAAGTAAATTGATTATTCAGGCAGAGCAGTGTGCATATAGGTATCAAAAACAATGCTCTTCTAGAAATCCATAGTTATTTTTGATGACCACAATGGATTTACTTCAGCTGAAGTATTTCTTTTTATGAAACAAAATCCAAACAGCATCACCAACAGTGCCAGCCACTAAACAACTAAAGCCACTTCCTCCACTGCTTGGTTTTCTCTCACATGCTCCCATCACTGGGCTTCATATTAAGATAATGCCATCATGGCCATTAAGACTCTAATACTGCACAAACGCCAACATTTGCCTAATGCTATTTAACTCACAAAAAAGGACCAGATTTCTTTCCCAAAAACACAAAAAATTACTCAGTGTTCAAGACTAAGTAGAACAATTTTTTGATTTTTCTTAAATATCTATTTAACATCATTTAAATACCCATTAAATATCATATGAATAAACGGGATGATTGAAATAAGCCCATTAAGAAAGCACTCTGTAATAAAGGCAAACCTCAATCCTACAAGAAAGGATTTACACTATGTCAACCATTAAACATGTACTTTTTTAAAATGGTTGAAAAATAAAAATTAAAAACTGCCTAAATTGAACCTCACTTTGTTTCAAAACCCAGAAAAATCATGGTACAAAGTTACCTACAGCATTCAGAAAGCGAACTTTTATTTTTACATTTCAGATAACACTAAGCCTAATATTTCATTATCTTCATGTAAACGTGGACTTTTAAATTCTGCTTTCCCTCCCTACTTTTTGACTCTCAGTTTATTAGAAAAGCACAGTCCCTCCCCTTCCCAATCCAGCTGTGTTTCTAGTCTCCCTAAAAACTCTGTAGTTCAATCTGGGTATAGAAGACAAGGATCTGGTAGTGAGGTTAAGAGGTTACTGTACGCCACCACAAATTGTTCTATACCATCAATCACAATAAAGATAGAGAATAATCTTAGTTTCAGTTTGAGGTACAGAAATATTTGTTCTAGTATCTCCATATAAGGTCTTCTTTAAGTCAACAAAGACAGGCTGTAGCCAAATTCTAACCACAACATGAATTATGGTTTGCATATTTAAATGCTGGCAACTAAATATTGCAGGATTAAAATGTTGAGTTTCTGCTAGCAGTGAAAAATGGAGTGCAACCAAAACTAGAAGACTATAAAGTTGGTGGTAACTCTAGCTTGCTACTAGTAAGGAAACATACTATTGATTCTTATAAATTCTCCATTCAAAGTATGAAACTAGCAGATGCTTTATAATGTTTGACATTTGCTAATCAGAAATGCTACCAGTACTCTGAGCCAATTTAAGTTACTTGTATTTCTGAATTCTCCTATTCTAATTTTAGCCTTAATTAAACAATAGAAAAATACCACTACTTCCACCACATGCTGAAATCTGAAGGATTATATAAGTTGCTTCTAGAAGATGACTGACTCATCAGCAACAGCTAAATGCTAATTGCTTTCCTGTTGTGAAAGCTAAATACTTAAAAACACTTACTGCCACAGGGATAGCAGCCTGAAAGGGAAAGCAATCTTCTCAGCAACAGCAATCACTGATGCGCAAATCTACTAGGCTGAGGTGTATCTAGCTAGCATGAAGCTGTGCTGAGTTTTCGTTCTCCTAGACTATGTCATCATTTAAACATTAAAAGTAAAATGTATTTTCGGAGCAACAAGTTTTGTACCTGTTACAATACAGGTCCTTGCTGGAACAGTTACCATTTAAAGCTATAATGAGTGTAACTATTCCAGGCCTTACTGCAGTCAGTGTGACTTTCTCAGAATCAAATACATAGCAATGTCTGCATTACTCCCTTACAGCTAAATTAGGATGAATATTCACAGAAACAACAATGAGAACTACCAGGCATCCTGGAAGAGCCTGTAAGACCGGTTAATGTGTTAAGAGGCTTAACAGTTCCTACAACATTCACTGACAGATTCAAGTTGCAAGATTGCTTTTGAATTTACTTACCTTAAATGAACTGTGCACTAAAGTTTCATCTAAATCAATGACCACACACTTCTTCCCATAGTCCGATGCTGTCAGTTCCGGCAGGAGGTATTTAGCTGGTGGCTAAAAACAAAAAGACAAGAGGAAGACAACACAAACCAGTAAAACATCTACTGAAGGGGCACTCTTCTGCCAACACTACTGTTGTAGTAATTACTGGGAACAGAAATACATGACTCAAAGTTCAATGTATTTCTGGGCTCATGGCAAGTACACGTATGGAAATCAATGGCTCATGCAATACTCATACAGACTTTTCATTCTTTTTTTAAATGAAACTTTTTTAGCATGATATCCAAAGCATTGGAAATGAAAATGGTAAACCACCACCAGCAGCTAAAAAAAACCCAAAGAAAAATAACACATTTAGTACAATGGTATCTTTTTCCAATGTCCCTCTTCCTGATTGCCCCACTTTTGGTTGCTGCTGCCACACCGTTCACAGTCAGTATTTCCAGCCATACCACATTGATGGACATTTAAACAAATGGTTGTTTCTGTCTGCCATGAAAGATGCTAAAGTGGAGAAACCAATCCTGAAGGAAGATAGCATTATTAATTTTATCTTCCAGGACATGTCTCCACTCTTGTTTTTACCACTTGTGAGGGTGCTGACCAACAGCTTTCATGTGGATTACATTCCAATCAAGGTATTAAAAGTGCAGTAAAGAACCTAAACTAGGCTCTTCTACTGTTTACTGTCCTTACTATAAACTGGTACCAATTACATGAATTGACAATTTTTCTGTAAAGCAATGCAGAAAGTCACATACTCTTCTGATTGCTCATTCCACACTTTAACTTAACATCCCCATTTGCAATATAGTTATGTTACTTTAGACTTTGGTACTGCGTATTTCCTGAAATAACAGAGATGGGAGAGAATGCTTCCATTTGGAGCTGAAATGCTGCTGCCACTCCTTTAAAGAAGGGGGTTTTGATGAAGGAAAAAGACTAGCTTTTTAGAAAAGTATCAGTAGGGAGAAGCTCAAAACTGAGAGGAAATTAAACTAATTAAGAATGGGATACGAAACTCTAACCTTCATTCTTCTGCTATCTTATAATCTGTTCAGACAATGTTGCTTTGGTAAGAATGCGCCTATCACGTTTTTGGTCTTTTCAACAGCCTTTTGTAGAGGTGCTTGCAGAGGCCTGAGGCCACAGCAGGTGACAAACAGGTGAGTCAGACACCCTCTGAACACCCAACAGCACCAAGGACAGATTATTAACCACTGATGGATTTCAGACCGCATCTTAAGTTGATAGATATTGGCCAATGATGCTTGGTAAGCTCTTGTTTGAATGAACTAACAAATGACATTCTGGATTTAAATAGAAGTGTCTTTAGCTAAAGTATAAGTTACTGGGAGATTTTTTTAGGAATGCTCACTGAAATTGATTCAGATTTTTTACAATTAACATCAACAACAGTTTCTTCAGGTACCAAAATGGAAGCTGCCTTGCTTAAAAGCTGCTTGTCTCAATGGATTTTCTCTCAGCACAAATCTAACAGTGACCTTCAAGAAAAAACAACTTCTGCTTAATGCCTGTACAGTAACCATCCATCACAGTAACTTAACCAGGCTGAAATTTGTAGGACAGCCTTTTTAGGTTATAGACAGTCCCGTGTACACATTGCTTCAATAACTGCTTGAGCTCTATCCACCTCTGCTTTTTGAATCTTGGACCAGATCTAAAGAATTTTGGTTTCTCACTCCTATTTAAGTATTTCAAAGGTATTTAGGCATCCCATCTCAATTTTTTTATAATAAGAAGGATCCATACTTGCAACCTAAATAGATCAAAAGCTTACTGAAAGAAAGTATCAAACCCATTTAAAGACAATAATCTTCAGAACCCTTGTTCTCATACTGATTTCTTGTCTATAAAGAAAAAATAGGAATATCCAAGAAATCTTAAGAGTATTTTTTTAATAATAGTTCAGTTCATTTTTGTACTCTTAAGACTGTTAGTATCTAGTCTGAATTGTTGACTAAGTTAACAAGCACAAGCAGTTCAAAGCCAGCAATTTCTTCTATGTGAATTCTTTATCAAACTGAAAATACCTAGACATATGGAAAATATATGGAAAAATATATTCTTCCACATAAAAATATGCATATGAAAAATATGAGCACTGTTTTATCACAGATATCTGCTATTTATCTGGAAACTAATATGCCTGTCATCAATAAAAGGCTGGACATACACTAAGGACTACAAAACATGAGAACCTTCATCTCTGAGAACCTGAATTCCATGACAGCATGGTGAGAAACAGCCCATGCTCATCACGCTCATCCACCTACAGCTCTGTTTTCTCAAAAACAGCATCTGGGAGAGGAACAAGCTTACCCACAGCATCTCTACAGAGACACTGGTTACTGCTGGAGTTTCTCTCCCTTTCCAGTATTGCCTTTGGAGCAAATGTGTAACTATTGACCTAACTAAGAAGACTACACCTCAAGGTTCCTCCTGGGGAAAGTCTCCCACTAGGGCACATCAAACTTCCTAAAATCTTTGGCTTCTTGACATCTGGTCAACAGTTGGCACACTTGAAGATCAGGAGAAATAAATATTCCATTTTAAAACTTGCATCTCTGTTACCCTCAACTCTGTAAACACATCTGTCACCCTAATAATCTAACAGGGATAAGGAAACTATATTGATGCTGAAGGCAATATAAGACGCCGATAAACATAGAGTGCAGGACTTTGGAGCAAGGATGACATTTTTGAGGCTATAGGAACTTAAGACAATTTGTATATAGGGTATCAGTTCATTCGTTTTGCTGTTCAAGCTTTCTGATCTAAAGCAATTTCCACATGCTAAGAGTAGCAAAGCTTTTAGAGAGACACAAGCATTAATCAATTTTTTATTTTAATTTCCTCACTAATGGAGACATATCCAAGAAGAGTTCTAATTACCAGATTTCCATCATAGTTAATAGTGAATAGTTATGGATCTTTGATAATTTCCTTTTTTAAACATAGTAGATTTAAAGATATCTAGGATGATTAAAAGAAGTGTTTAATTGTGGCTAACAGAAACTCATATTTAATATGCAATACTCTCTCAAAGACTGCACACTTCCACAGAACTCAGCAGAGAAATAACACGTGGTATCTCAGTACTGTAAGTCCTAGTTTGGTCTTCAATTCCAACAAGACATAAATTGTATACAAGTTAAAGCTTTTAAAACTAGTCACTGTTTGGGATTTATGCATTCCAGCCAGGTCTCATGGCTGATCAGCTTAACAGACCTTGTAGTGAAACGACTGCTGCACTGCTTCAGTCCCGTGGAAATAGTATATTCCCTAAGGAAAAAAAAAAAAAAAGGGGGTGGTGGTGGCAAGAAACAGGACTCTTGGTTGAAGCATAAACAGCTGGTCAACACAAACCTTTCAGAAATTTACTGTATAAAACAATCATAACCTTTCTTCCCTGTAGGGCCATATTTCCCACAGAGACAAGTGTCAGAATTAATAAGCCCTTTCTTTGTATACTGGAAATGTTGTCTAGCCTAAGTGCAGCACATTAATTTGCTGTTCATGTTCCCTTCAATTCACACTTTTAGTTGCACTCTACATAGCTGACAGCTTCTCCCAACAGTTATGCACAGAAATACTTTAATAGAAGATAAATGATTCCCACTTAAACAGCTGCCAAAAGATGCTAGCTCCTGTTATAAAATGGGCAGTTCACAACATTTCTTCTAGAAGTTGTAACAAGAAATTGCCTAAGTGTAGGTGAGGACAAGTGAAAAAAAACCCCAAACCAATACCCCAGTGCTGAGATTTAACTTCTGCATAAACTTCAAGGAGTAATTTTGGTACGCTCCTTAATACCAGTGTTTTAAAATGAACAAAAGAAATGGACACTCCAACTCACTGAAGAAGGTCCACGTGTATGGCTTTGTATTTCCATCTACCTTTTCATTCGTAAGAATGAAAAGGGCTGAAGTTGCTATGAGTCTGCTTTGATTTCTCTACCATACTCCATGAAAGTACAAGTATCCTGAGCTACACTTAATACATTTTTAAGTCACGTCTATCATACTGTGTCAGCTGGTACTGGGTTTTTGGTTTTTTTTCAGGTTTTGTGTTTATTTTAAGCCTAAAAAGTAATAATTTTGCAGTATTAAGGAATAAATCAATTATGCTGCTGTCCAATCTATGCCTTTTCTGAAAACAGTTTCAGAATACAAGATGTAAAAAGGATAAAGTTCATCTTTTAAAAAAACATCCAAAACCCAACAGTCAGACAGTTTCTGTTTTCTGAAGAACCTAAGCAGAAGCTGGAATGTTTCTGGTTTAGCTGTCATCTCTGTCAATAACCAATTGAAAATTCATATTAATTCAAGTTTTTAAATTTAATGCAACTAATACAGAAAAAAATCTGATTGAGCAGCAGATATACTTCACCAATTTGCACATATGCACATAAAGCAATGGAAGTTTTCAAACACGTGACCCCAGCAGGCTGACAGATTTTACACATGCATGAAAACCTTGTATTTTGACTGGAGGCTTCACTTTGAAAGTTTAATGACCGGGGAGTGGGCAATGCTCTTTTCAGAGTCGTTAAGGAATTCTCTAAACACTTGAAGGGATCATATTTGCAATGAGCTCTATAAAAAGTAAATATCTAACATAACTGTGACCAAGCTCACTCTGTGTATGTTCAGAAAATATTTCTCCTAGTATGTACAATACATACAGTTCAAACAGCCTATTTCCCATCCATGACCCTATGTGGCAGAGCATCAAGAATTTATGCCTTAATGGGTCTTAAACACATGGTTAAGAGTTTTCTCAGAGTGAACCTCTGGGCTGCAGCACTCAGGACAAACAGCTCTTGTGAGACTGGCAAAGAGGACTGCTTTAGTTTTAGGCATTTTTCTGATATAATGTTACATCTTTGTTCCTACCACTTTCTCCATACGCAGCTCACTTCTGTATTTATTTAGACTATTACATACTAATGCTTGCTAGCTTCTGTTTGACAGCCAGAAGCACTCTGATACTCGGATAGTAAATGTCACACAACTGCCTGCAGGTGACGGTTGCTTGACAACACTTTCATGTCCCACTGGAAAAAGGCATCAGATGGCACTGGAGAAGAGGAACGAGTGCGTTTAAAGTCACCTGCTCACTGAGAGCTCTATGGCATGACTGCCTTATTAAAGTGCTGGGAATATAGGTCAGCAAAATCACTGTTGCACTAAAAAGAAGAATAAAAGAAACCTCTCGTATTGTTCATTTTCCTACCACTACCTGATTCTTAACAGAGCACTGCTTTAACATCGCAAAGATGGTGTTCTGAAAAAGTATCTCATTTTCATGTTTGTACCTGACAAAGCTGTACCCATTTCTCATTTCAAAATTTTGTTCTGTTTCAATTCTTATTTCTTTAATACCTACACTTAGTTTTAGCCAAAATTTTATTCCAGGTCAGAGCACAGCCAGAACATGTTTTACATTCAAAGAACTACTAGTAGAGCAACTACAGTCACCAAACAGAATCTGGCAGGTATGTAAAAGGAGAAGTAATTTAGAAAACAGTATTTTCATACATTCAAAGTTTTCTATTCCCAAACTTGCATATATACAAATTATATGCAGGTACATGTGTGTGCATACATATACATATGCATGCAAATATATGCATGAGATGTATCAGAAGTAATTTCATAGTAGAAATAATATGCAAGCAATAAAGACTAATTTATAACGGTCCTTCAATCCAAGGAAAAGCAGTTTAGAAGGGACGTGATCCACACAGTTTTATGAACTCCTGACATTACTGCACTGCAGCATGGACAGGGTTCTTACAGGAAGTATTGTAATGTTGGGTTACGTGAGAAGGAAGGGGAAAGAGGAAAAAAAAAATGCTGTCTTGGGGAATAGTCATGTCTTTAGAGCTACCTAATATCTCAAGTGGGCTGTGTCAGTAACTCCACACATTAGCACTGCTATTTCCTGGAAAATTCTGCAACAAAAAAGTATTATGAACAGCAAAGGAGCTCAAAAAAGAAGAAATTAAAAAAAAACCCAACAAAAACCAAGTAAAAAAAGAGCAGCTTTTTGACCAAAAAAGGTTAAACTTAATTAAAAGCTTCAGTTTGAAGAACCACTTTTTTCTTCCTTTTATTTAGTTTTGAAAAATAATTCACATGCCAAACAGCATTCCAAGTTTAATCCAAGGAAGATAAGCAGAAATATTAAAGCCCATAAAACAGTAGATACTGAGAGCATCATCTTCAAAGAGTGCAATAATGCAGCTTGGTCAGTGTACTCCTTGTTTTCCTAAAGTGGTTTGTTCCAAACAAAGCATGCAGTTTCTAACTCTTCAACTGGAAAAACTAGAGGGAAAGCTTTTTGCACCTGTCTCTCATATAGTGATGATGAGTCACCTTTTGTCTCTATTAAAATAAGCAACTACAACTTTTAGGCTACTTCAGGCATTTTCAAAACGATAAAAATTCAGAAATTAATTTAACTGAGATTCAAGATGAAACCCATATAAAACCCAAACTCTTCTTTAAGGCCCTGTAGAACACATGCAGTTCAATTCATCTCCAAGTCTACATTATAGACAGAACATAAAATCATTTTATTAACATGCAACACAAAACAGACCTGTTAGACTGCAACATAAGATGAATCAAAGCAAAAGTTATGAAAATTATTAAAAGAAAAAGGGATAAAAATACATACACTTGGTATAGGCATGACCTGCATCTGGTCACCCTGGGGAAAAAAACAACAAAAAAAAAAATCACTGTAAGGGTAATGGCTTTTAAAGGGTAGAACAAAGGTTTGAAGCAGTAAATGTAGCACTCAAACATTTTAAACCAAAGGTTCAACGTATTTAAGAAATCAGGGTAAAAAAAATAAAAATAAAAATTAAAAATAAAACCAGGATCTTGCATTTTAGTTGCTGAAATGATGTTAGTATATCGGTATTCATGATTTTTAGGAGACTGGACTGGTAAACCCCATGCTATGGTTAATAAGAGATGACAATAAGAAAGAACCTGTATTTACTGTAACTTTTTTCAGCTTTAAAATCTACTAATGGGTATATTTGTCTGTTTTCACCACAGCAACAAGAGGCTTAGATAGATCTTGCTAGCAGGGCAGAAGCCCACTCCCTGAAGTTATTAACTTCACTTGAGACAACTGCCTCAGAAAAAACATTTTCACTTAGGCAACAGCAGAATGTCCAAGAAAGAAATGATCAAACTTATCCAAGGAATCTCACTTTCTTCACCCAGGACACAACACTATCAGTGTTCTTCCCATGGTCTCACTTCTGTATTGGACTTGGGAGAAGGCTAGACAGTCTTGGTCAACTTGACCTTTTCTTCTCATCCTGGGACCCACATATGGACACAAAGACAGTTTCCAAATGGAGAACAGCTGGTCATAGGGTCACCAACATAAATATATGAGGTTTTGGGAAGTAGGAACTGTATTTTCTAATCTGTTAAAGTACTTGTTTTCTGGTGGGCACAGCACATTAATAAAGGAAGCCAACCCTTCTAGCACAGAGATAGCTTAGGTAAAAGATTTTATCCTCTAGTTACTTGGACAACACAGGCCTCTGACTACCAGCAGATTGACTATTTATTGAAAGAGCTGTTTTCAACATTAGAACATCCTCTTGCAGCTGAAAAGTCTTGTGCTCACTTGTTTTAGAGTCTAACATAGTGTTGACACACCACTAACAAACAAAAGGTAATTCACTATTATTTTTGAAGTCCTCTTTTTTTATTCCTAGGAAAGGAGAAATTTTTAATAACATTTAACCAAAATCCAGAGAAGCTGATGAAGCAGCTGGAGAGCAGCCACTACCATGATCTAACCAAGAAGTTTGCTTTAGTAAAAAGTACCCTATTTCTATAAAAACAAACACAAGAACTGGTAAGAATCCACATTTTCTTCAAGGTAATGGCAAAAAGAAAAGAAAATAAAATATGTAATTCAGGACATTAATGTCCTGTTAGTGGAACATCATCTGAAGTTCACGGGCCATTTCAGAAAGAAGAATTTGAGTAGGTGCCAGTCAGATTAGCTGGCTGGTGATGAAACTGTTATCAAGGATATAGTTATGCAGGCAGAACACATATTGCAAACCTGTGTTTTGTTTTGAAACGCATTTTTTGCATTCACTGGTAGAGAATAAAATACAACTGAAGCTTCTCTTCTGTCAACAGATGAAAACAGTATATGAGAGTAGAGGCATATTGGTAGCTTCAGTACAAGATTATCTCAATCGTGGACACAAATATAGCTGTGTATCACATTAGGTTTTTCCACAAACTTCAAGAGGCACTCACTGTGGCGTAACTGGCTTTCTATTTTGGTAATCTCTTGAAGCAAGAGCTGTACCCCATGGTATTACTGTTAAACTTGATAACTATCATTGGAATCCAGAATCTAACTTGCTAAAGGACTTGCATTATTGTTTGCTTTATTTTTCATGCAGAATTTCTTAAATAAAAAACATCAAGGAAGAAAAGTGTCCTCCTAAGAGGAACCTGAAAAGTACCTATGCCAAAATCAAAATGGTAACTGGAAGAACAAACAGAAAGATAAATGCAAAATTCTGCTGCTAAAGCTTAAGTGTTGACGAGCAGGCAAATGCTTTTTAAAAACAAGCCTGCTATGGGAAACTTTTAAAAAGTGTCCTGCCTCATTTCCTGATGCCTTGGAACAGGAAGGGAAATAGGTCATAACAGTATCGTTTGAAATAGATGACAGATGACTGCATTTGTTGAAGTCTTTCCATGAGCTCCTTATGCTGGTAACAGGACAAAGCTGTTCCTAGAATGCCAAAATTTCCCTATTGTAGCACTAAGATAACCCAGGAACTGATTTGTTCAGCCATTGAAATAGGGTTCTTTTTCATGGCACAATATATACAGATGAAACGATAACTCCTATCTTTTCCCTTAGCTACGTAGTTTTAGTTTGAGACATGCAACGTTCTCTGTACCACATCCGTTCATTAATGCTGTCTACAGTTGCGTATAGGATCAATGAGCATCAAGTGACAGGCCATATATTTGGCTTTTTTTGAGAGCAGCTTGCATCCAAAAATACGGAGCTGTTTCATTTTAAAGAATAACCCCTTTAACGCAGCAGCTGATCAGAATAGATTTAGCATGTTCATTTCTTTAACACAAAGCTTACATTAGACCGTGATAGGTTCTTTAAAAAAAAAAACCAAAATACAGCTTCTATTTTACTCTTTCAGTGACTTGGAATATCAAGCTTTGTCTCAATATAGAAGACTTTTTGGGAGGCAAATAAGGTCAGAATGAGTAAGCAGAGAGAAAGGAACCAAACATAGGTGGGGGGGGGTGTGTGTGTTTTCTAAACAGACCTTCCCTACCACATGTTGATGGTGACTAGGTATTTTCTTGCTCTGATCAATGAAGGTTAAGCAGAAGAAAGAGTACTAATATTTACATTAATCTCAATTGTCTTCCTCCACACTGGAGAGTGACACTGGTTTCCATTATCTGTTTGGAAAGCATGCCATTAATAGTCTCCCCATCAGATTTCATGCTCGTGTTGCTCCTCTGTCTCTCTTGGATAAAGGAGATAGCACCTTTGGCCTCAAGAACAAGCTCCCTACAAGCTGTTTTTATCACTTTGGTGACTCATACTCATGTGGGATAGAGAAGATCCCTTTTCCTGCATTGTATTATAGAGATCCCTGAAGTAGAGTGTTGGAGACTTAACAACAGGTCATCTAAACAGCTTTCCAGCATCACCTTGGAGATGACGGCACTGTGAAGCAGAAAAGCAGTGTGGAGAAGGAGACCTAATTTTTGTAATGGTTAGGATGGGTGAGGTAGAAATTCAAGGACTTGACCTTTCTGGCTTCATTCCTGTTACAGGGAAAGCAGCAGGGGCAGCTGTTGCCCCCAGAATAAACCTTCTTCTAAATCTGTCTTCTTCCTTGTTGAGTGTGGATCAAGACCTTCTCCTCCAATCCAGCCAGTATAAAAAACCCTTTCCTCATTCATGCTTCATCTTGTTGAACATGAGCCATCTGCCTGATTTGGATCTAACTGTGAAACAAAAGCAAAGATGATTCTAGTGGAAGTGGGTTGTAAGTGAAATGGCAAAGTGTTGATAGACTTTTCGGAGCTCCTTCACCCACCACATGACTGAAAGCAAAGGGAAAAGAAAGAGCTAGTTTGCATCCAGCTTTTCTCACCTTTCTCTATCTAGATCCCTCCTTGAAACCTGCAGATGAAATCTGTGTCTACAAACACTTTGAAACTCCACTAACAAACTTACCTAGAAAGAACAAAAAACTACACCCAGAAGCATGTACAGAAAATACACAAATTGAATCAAGTTGCTAACTGAAGAAATTGAGATTTGAATTTATTTAGAACAAAAAACACTTCCCTCTCCCAACACTCTGGCCCCTAAAAATAAAATCCTGGCTGGGAGGTGCTAGTGAGCTGCCTGCTGCTGAAGAGGCAGGAAAAAATTACCAAGGGTTTCATGAATTCTGAACATTGTGTGCTCCCAATGACACATCTGGCTCAGGATTCAAGCTGCAGACAGACTGATATACCCACTGTAATTGCTATTACATCTTAGAATACATCTTTCTGATGCACTAAAAAGCTGCTGCATTTCAAGAAAAACAAACATACAACAGTTGCAGTAAATACAAGTTATTATTGAAAAAATGTATTGGAACTTTAGAGACAGAATGGACCATTCATTACCAGTATTAAAGTCACACTTGGACAAGCAGCTGCTCTGTGAGTAGAAGGTTTAAAAATTAACTCAGTATTTTAAAGAAGTTTTTGGGCTTTTTTTTTTTTTTTACCCCTAACAGAACAGAAGTCAGCACTTGAAAACCCCTGTTTATTCAAAAACATGCTCATATTGGTGTTTCTTCAAATCCTATGAAGAAGTGACTTGACAAGCATAACCAAGTCACATTATTTGGCAAGATACTAAATGAAGCACTGATTTATTTCAAGCACTAATTTCATTTTTCTAATACAGCAAAATAAGAACAATAAAAATTAAATCACACAACTACTCTGAATAATATTTCAGAACAGTGTTTTCAATTTCTAAAATACTCTTCCCTGCTTTCCCTTCTTTACAACAGGTTAGCATTTAAAGAACCGAGACTCCTCATTAAAAGGAAGTTTGCTTGTCACATCAACTTCAAACGTCAAGAATATGCCAGAAGCAACACAGAACAAACACTGAATTCCTGTGAAACCAACAGAAGCTTTCTCCATTCCTTTCCTTCCTCTGAAGTCTTTATCACTGATTTTCGTGTAACAACTCTACTGAACAGTAAAGACAGAAGGAAAGTACATCCAAGCCAATTTATACTAGTTTCTAATGGTAACTATTTAAGATTATTGTGCAATTTTCTTTTTCCATTTTTGAAGAAAAGGGTCACAGGACATGAACTGACTGGGCCATGGTCAGTGATCACCTGTGAGGTGACAATTAATAAAACATACAAAAAAAAAAAAAAAGATAGCAGATATAAGTCAGTGACCATTTGAACAGCAGCTCAGAAGAATTTAAACAATTCTAACCTGGCACTCAGAATAATGCAAAAACAGCTTTAATTAAACAGCAGAGGAGTTTAAGCAGTGTGTTGTCAGGCTTTCTTCTTTCCTACATCAAGTAATTTTGCTATTCCAGGACATTTAATTTCACCAATTTAGAAACTGAGGCCCACTGCTGCATGTACTTTCCCCCAACTTACTTATCACTTCTGAATCTAAACAAGATGCTCAGTGTAACTTGATCAAATTCAACCAGCCTGCACAGTTCTGAAATACAGTTCTCCTGGTAAAAAACAGCTAGCCTGACAGTGTAACAATACTCAAATATAGCCAAGTCTTCAAGGCTCTTTTTCTCTCTTTAGCAGAATTTCCTACTTACACTAACCATCTTAGCACTCAAAATAAAAACAGCATATAAAAACACATAAAAACCTCATTAGAAATGTCATGGACTTATTTCCACTCACTTAAGAACCACCCAAAAAACTTAGCTATGCTTGATTTCTTCTGCGAAGATCTGTAAGCATCTGAGTGCCTTTCATGCTATTTGAAGAAAATGCACCCTTTAATAATTCTTTTTTTTAACATATTCCTCTATTATTTTTTTTTCTTACTCTATCAAGCTGTAGTCAGGTAATTCTATGAATTCTGCGATTTTTGTCTTGGGCCTGTGTACAAGTGCTGCACAACTTCAAAACTGTTTATTAAGGCAGCACAGAGTGAGGAGGGAAGCTTGTGTGAACGTACATGCAATCACTAGCTCAAGGCATAACATATTTTTAGAAAGTAATTAAGTGCCTTACAAAAGGCAGCCTAAAAACTAGTGACTCTAGAACATTTTAACTCACATTTTCTAAAGAAAAAATAAACTCTTGTTTTCTTTATGTTTTTCTTTGTAATGAATTCCCTCTTTCAGTTTTAATTTTGCTATTAGCCACCTTCCTTCTTTCCATTTCCTAGCACAGTGGAAAGGAAAATTTTACTAGTTTCCTATTCCTTTTGTTTCTCAGGTGAACATGTGCACACATGCTACATACTACTCAGCTTTCCCTTCAGCATATCCAGGCTAGATTTCCCTCATTTCAATAGAAATGCACTTTGGCTGGCAAAATAAGTCTAAAAATAGACATTCGACTCCTCTTGGCAAAAGAATTTTTCAGTGCACTTCACCTTTACATGAGCAGTTTCAGCATGAACTGTTGCAGTTCAGACTCTACCTCCGCACATATTCTATGTCTCCATTGCTTTAATTTGCTTTCCTTTCCTGTCTCCCACCAAACGGCTCCCCTGCTCTTTCTCCTGAGCTTTTCAGAATTAAAACATAACCAGCAAAATTCAAAACAAAAATGAAATGGACTGGACAAAGTAGGAAAAAGATGAGCTGCATCTAATATGAAAAAATATTGTGAGAGAGCAGAAGGGTGAAAAGGTAAGAAACACCTCTATTTCTGCTATTATTCCCCATCATGGATACACCTATATTTGCAATCTTTTAAAGTCCTGGAAAAGTGCAAGGGGAATCGTGTTTCAATTGAGAGTATACGACTAGCGGAGTTTTGAGAGTGCTGAAAACCAATGTGGTATGGAAAAGATGGTATTCCTATGCTTGCTGTATTGAACTGAAATTCTCTGGTTTGTAACACAAATGCTCAGTGTTACCAGATTTAAAAAGAACATAAAATCATTTGTGTTGTGATTTTATGAATATATTAAAGGAATATAATTACTAAAACTCAATGAAAATAACATGCTGCTCTCACATGCAGTGCTTTGAACTGCTGAAAGTTTCTATCATTTAATTTGACTGAATAGGTATACGAAACTTATAACCTGGAAAAATGACCAAAAGCTGACACCTCTGAAGTGGTCAGGAAAAAGTCCAAACAACTACATTCTCCCCATTCTGAACTGATTTTATGTCACTGAAAACCCTTTTGACTGACATTCAAAGAGGTTCCACTACACTCCACTGGACACATTTTAACCTTCCTGCAGTTGGGAAAGAGAACCAAAGCTAGAGACAACTCAGCATCTAAAGTTTTATGAGAAGTCCACATATTTTCAGTGTTTTAAATGTTGTTTGCTTATCAAATGAATAGTGCCAATACTCTTCACCAAAAAAAAGTTACGTTTTAAACTGCAGCTGACTAGATAGCATTAGCAATTCCTCACCACAATAGCATTTTTTTCTGTAATAAGTAACATGTTCTCCATGAGGGAAACCTATTAAGGCAAACCTTCAGAAGCACAGAGTTCAATCTTGGTTACAAAAGACTCATATAACAGCAAAATAAGATAAAAGCCTTACCTTCTGAAGTCCTCCATTCTCCTCCACCAAAGGAGGCAGAGCACTGGTGCTATTGGTAGATGGTGGTTCGACATTGTAGTCACGAAAGCAGCAGAATAAGGTGCTAAAGATACTTCGACTCCTCTGCTTCTTCAAGCTGATATTACATTGGGACACTAGGAAACAAAAAACAGAAGAAAAATAAATTCATGTAGTACAGACCTAGCTTTCCAGACTATTATTACCTCAGAAGTCCTTCTCAAGTCTTAAGATAACCTCACAGAGATCTTCCATCATATTGAGACTCCCTTCCTCTCATTTCAACACATTATTTTCTTGTCAAACTCACATGGTGTTAGTCTTTTACAAATCAACCTGGATCTCTGTACAATCAAAGGTCTTGCCATACTAAGATATACTTCGAGTCTTCCTAGAAACATCCAAATTAGATATTGTAAATTACATGAAATGCTGCTAAATGTGTCTCTGGTCTGAAGAAGCAAACTGATCTAAAATAGAAGAGGATGCAATAAATGCCTACTGATGCCTGGGCACATTTTCTAGCCTAATACGTGATCACGTGTATAACACTAACTCCTGCAAGGGTCAAAAAAAGTTTCCTCTGTTACTGTTTGACAACTTTGTGGAGGAGAAAAGACATAACACAGACAGCAGCACTGTGGGCTGTAACACTGGCTACAGAAGCAAGTCTGGAGAGGGTGTCACTAAATAAAGTCAGGAGTCCTGGCTGTTCTTTTCAACTTGCTTACTGGTATTCCAGGATAGAAAAAAAAAAAACCCACAAAACAAAACCAACAAAATAATAAAAACAAACTAGTAAAAAATTGCATACAGCTCAATAAAAGCAAGAGTAGCATTTTTAAAGACTAATAACTGTAGATATAAGCTTGGAGAAAAGAAATGCACATATGATATTCAGTGATTTCCCTCAGATTCAAACTCCTAAAAAACAGATTTTGAGCACATATCAAAACAAAATGAGCTGGAAAAAGTTTTTAGACTATTTTAAGTAATACTTGAGTTGATCATCATGATTGATGATCTATTGTTAGCTAGAAGTGTGTGTTTCCTACATTGGAGTGCACTACCTGACGGACTCAGTGTTCTTCCACGGCAGGGCCAGGCAGGTGCACCCTTTTCATCTCGCGCCCTACGCACAACCCTTTGCCTTTGATGTTTATCTGAACCACTGCAACACATGGTACTGAATGCTATCGATACTCAACTTGTTATCACACTGTAAAACAATGAGGCGCAACCACGTCATGTTAATTGTGTAAGTAACTGCTTATTACCATGAATACTGCGTGAAACCACCACCCACTCCCAGCCAGAGAACAGGCACCCCCCTGCACTGTACTGCCTCACCTTAGCCAGGATCCACTTACCCTCTCCCTTAAGCAGAGCAATGTTTTAGCCTACAGAGATTAATGGCTTCCTTTTCAGAGTCAACAAATGATTTAATTTAAAATACATGCCCAAACAAGTTATTTTCAAGTCCTTTTTCACAGCTATGCAGCAGCCCATCTTAAAGCAGCAATCACTAAAAAGTGGATTACACTGAGGAAAAAAGGATCCTATGAAAACTGTAGAACCAAGTGGATTAATCCATGCACTACATAGCTTCTTTACATTCTACATTAGAATGAACAAAACACTTCTCCTATCCCAAAGTTCGAGGGTGAAATTCTTAGTAAGTCCCATTACACACATCGATACATAATTCCCCATCTTTCCTTCCTCAGATTTAGGGAACTGCCACATACATCTGCCTTCCTCTGACATTACAAATAACTCATGTGCAATCAAGGCAATGGGCAACAGAAATACAAGTAACACAATTATTAATATATAAAGAAAATTTCAGTGAAAGAACTGTGTATGAGTTGGAACAGATCTCCCCATGAAGACCTAAGGGATACCACTGTGCTCTGAAGGTGTGCAGGTACATGCATCTGCTTTGACAAGAAAGCCTCGTGGTGCAGATTTTGAGTGAACTTCCAAGCACTCTCTGACAACATAAACAAAATCTTCTGATTCTGCAGGGTTGGCATAAGCTACTCATCAATACTTTCTCCTCTCTAAGCACTTGCAAGGTGTCCAACACTAATTTTCTGTTCCCTGTATAGAACATATTCCCATATTTGTCAAAATACATATTAAGGGAGTGAACAGTGCTTATGATATTAACTGCTACTAAGAGGGAAGTGTACTTGTATTAAAAACTAAATGGTTTTTATAAACCTTCACCATTAAAGTGCTCAGATAAAGTATGAATTGCACGGATTTGTGCATGTCTTTGTGTTTAAGGAACTGTTTCTTCAAAGACATTTGTAAACCAAAACCAATCTAAACACTGCTTTTCAACACTCCAGGTAAACAGAAAACTGCAGCCACTGCTGTTACAAGTTACAGTAGAATACTCATTCTCAAAATGTCATTTTGTTTGCAAGAAAATTGCAAAAATGTGCCTAGAAATCCCTGAAGGAGCTCTGTATAGCTATGAAGGACTTTTTCAAAACAGTTCTCAAGGGAACTTGAATCACAAGCAAGTTTGTTGCAATATCATTCAGGCAGAGAGACCTGCTTTCTGACCTTAAACACTGAAATATGCTGAAATTAAAACAGGAAGCACAATCCTGTGTGTCCTGCTCCCTACAGCTAGTGCCACAGAAACCTTTTAATAATTTCAGTATTTTGTTTTCAGCTTCTACTTAAAAATCTGACAGTAAATAATCACATTTGAATGCTCAAAACAGAAACACTCTTCCACAGCATTTATCACCAGCTTTTGTTTTTCCTGGACTTAGCAAGGTACAAGACTGTTAACATTGAACTTCATTCTGCAAACAATTTTAATGCATAAAATAGTCCTCCAAAAGCCAAGACTGCATTTTATAATAAAGTCCAGTTTATATTCTAGGCTGGGTCTGAGGTAGGTCTTCAACACCACATCCATTTCTTTGAAGTTAATAAAAAGTTAGCGTTAAGCAAGGAGAACTGATTACCAAATGTTTGCATAAGAAATGTTGCAGAGTACTTCTGAGCTTAGTCTTCAGGAGGTTAATGAATACAAAGAGCATACAAGGCAAAAATTTACCTAAACCACATCATGTTTGCCCCAAACCTTGTAATGCTGAACATCAAGCCCTGCCTGGATGGGCTGGACATGCAAGAGCCATGTTAACAGATTACAGGATGAAGTCCCAGATTTTCAAAAGGCATGCTGCCCAGTAACAACTACTGCATTTAACAGAGAGAAGGCCAGGATGTCACATGGGCTCCGACGCTTATGGCTTTATGAAGACACACGTAGCCAGGAGACGCTTATATCCACCCCATCTCTAGCGATTCCTCAGATCTGTTTGCATCTTGCTGCTCTGTGCTGCTGTTTGCAACAAGCCTTTCAATCGGGTATAAATTACAACAGCGTTTCTAATTTCGTAACTTAAAGCCTCAGCTGTGCAGCAGATCGACAAGAACATCACCAGCGTTTAAGAACCAACATTTGTATCTTCTCTACTTAGATGATAGAAAGAGGCAGTAAACAGTAAATAGTCTAAATAAATACTAAAAAAATCTCAGACAAAAGCTACTGATTCGTTCAAATATTTTAAGAATACTTGTTTTCCTTGATAAAATTGTACATTTTAAATCTGGCCACTCACTTTCACTAAGTGAAATATTTGTTCTAGGAAAAAGAATCCTCTACGTTGTTTTTCATCTTGCAATTTTGCCATTCATAACACAGCTGTGTTTCAACAGGTCTTTCCACTAATTTAGATGTTATTTTAAAGAGATCAGGGTTGGGTTTTTTTAATACTGTATTATAGACTTTACTATGACTTAATAAATTGTTATTTCGGATGCAGTAAGGAAGAGAAGTTCTCAAGTGGCTTTATGTGCCATGCTGTATTAATACACACGGGTATTGCATACATAGAAAAGGTCTGCATATCTCATTTTTAGCAACTACAACAGAAAATAGTTCCTCCTTCCCTAGTTACGCTGGCCCACTTGCAATACATGTGCTGTTTGCTTTTCTTAAACCAGTGACGGTACAAATATAACCAACTCTGAAGATGTAAAGAAGCATTAATATTGAATCAATACCATAAACTTAACTATTCTGGATGCCAGCAAATTTGAAGAGAAAAAAACTGCAGAGGACAGAAGCTGGCATTCCTTAAGAGCTTCATAGTTAAAACCAGGTAGTAATGATACTGGAATGGGAAGCTGGATTATCTAAACTCCAAGTCTGAGCAGCAGTCAGCATATGGAATTTAGAGGACTTTTTCTTTTTTTCCTCTACATATTTTTGAAGTTACAACCATGATTTCTGGAACTGATTTCCTAGAACATCCACAAAAATACTATGCTCATTACCCCTATCACCACTGAAGGCTGAAGACAACTTTAAGTGACCTTTTACATCTTGAACACTGCATACCAAACAGAAACACTGTGCACCAAGAAAGCCTGGGCAAAACAACTTCACCATACGTCAACGTTATCTGTGAAGACTGTAACCAGCAGTTATTTGCAGAAGAGCTAAAGAAAGGAACAACGCAAGAATGGGGTGATGCTCTCCCCTAGCACTCCCCCAGGTGCACTCTAACTGCAGTTTAAGGACTTCCTTACTTGAAGACATCAACTGAGTATACAACAGTCCTCACAAATTCTTCTTTCATGACATTGTGCCATCACATTTTGAACTTACACCAATTTCTAGTGTTAAAAGTATCCTGTGGCAAGAATGTCCACAGGTCACTCAGCAATTCAGCTGTTCCTTAACTCTGACCCTACTTGTTTCTGATCTTTGTACCATCTCTAGTATTTTTGAGCAGGAGGAGAGGGACTAGACCCACAGGATGAAAGGAGAGCACTATGAATTTACACACCCACAAAATGCTTTTTTCTTCTCTTACTTTTCTCATAATTCCTCATATTTTGAGTTTTACAACAAGATAATGGTATTCTTCAGAAGTTCTACTATAACACTAAGATCTCTTCATTAGTAGATATTTCAGGCATCACTGCAAATGTAAGTCAAGAATTATCTCTTCCCATGCAGAAAATGCCACACTTAATTTCATCTGCTATTTTCAAGGTTAGTAATTCAAAATCATGTCACCTTCCTACAGCTCTTTACAGTTAAGTTTTAAATCTATAGACAGATGTACATATATGCACACACATTCATATGCATGCACAAACAAACCCGCACCCACCCCTTTCCCTTACAAATTTTGTCACCTCATTTCCTTATTCCCTTTTCCATATAGATTAATGCTACATTGAAGAGCAGGCTGCACATACCCCTGCGTAACTTCTTCCGCAGGGATCTCCTGGAGGTCTGCAATCACCTTCAGCAAAGTGCTTTGTTAAATTAGCTGAATTTGTATTCAATTATTTGCAGACAGGCTCAGAAACAGGAGCACAGCTCTTCCTGTGTAGGAGCGAAGTCCCTCTCGTGCAGATTTCCCCCGATTTGAAAGTGCAGGGTCTCATCTATAACTTCCAGATGCTACTTCTAATGACAAGCCTCACTGTTTGCAACCTGTGTGCTACCTACTGCTTGTGCCTAAATTACTTCTTGAATTGCCTGCAAGTTTCTGGAATCCAAAGATGGTTCACAGAACTCTGTTTATCAAGGTCTTCTGGCAAGCCCTAATGAACCCACAGCATTGCTAAGCCTGGGGAGGGGCTCAAGGAAAGATAAAGGCAAGTTTTAAAATAAACTGCTGCAATGACGTAAGCTTAAATGGAAGATACGCAATCATACTTGGTGGTTATACAAAGAGAACAAAAAGAAAAGAAGAAACGAATAAAACAACGAATTCCAACTGCGACAAACATTATAATAGAAATTAATACACGAGCATGATAACAAGACATCTATAGCATTTTCTCAAACCTCCTTTCATTCAAACCATCCTTAAGAGGCAGAAGTGTTGTGCTGCTCTTTTGCACCAGAACCGTTCCAACAGCAGCATAAGTTACACAGTAAAGTAAAAGCTCTTCCCTCATGTACTATATTCTAAAGAAGTTTAGTTCAGGGCTTCTTCCATCAAACTTTGCTGTAGCTGTGTGAATTTACAAACCCAGATTGTTGTGCAGCTGTTGTACAATGAACTCCGTGCTGCTGCAGGAAGCCACCATGGGTTGACTGGAGGGCTCCTAATCCAGCTCATCCCTCTGCAGTTCACAAGTGAGCTAATTACAGCTGAATTTTTCCTAATTAAATGAATGCCACAGTCAGTTCTCCCAAGTAATATAAACTGGGTAATGAAGATACTTTCCATGCCTTTACAGATGAACTCGGTAATAAAATGAACATCTGTGTATCGTGAGCTCTCTGCTAACAAGTTTGTTTATAATACGAAATGGAAAGATACAAGTCAGAATAACACGGTATTAAACAAAGCCTTTCTTCAAAAGGAAGCAGTTTTGAAATTTGTACGATTAGAGATGCGTAATTTCTCAACCTTCTTAAAAGGCTGTATCTGATCTTATTAGAAAAATAAAATTTTTTATCCTACAGTACTCGCTCTAGAAACAGCTAAGTAGCAGAAAACAATTATGTTTTCTCATAGGGCTCCTATATTTGTGATGTATTTACCAGGATAGAAATTATTTTACAACACTTAGTGCCAAAACTGCATGTGATGCCCACGTAACTTTGGTTTTAAAAGCCATCTGCAGTTTATCATTGAAAGGTTTAATCTGCCATGTAAACTCTGGAGAAACTTTAGCAGTAACAGCACTGTGACATACCTGCAACAACCACCCACACCTGGATTAACCTTGAAACATGTATAACCCAAGGAAATTGCTCTGTTTATATTCGACATGATATACCCCAGAATTATCTTCAACTGAAGCTGGCAACCTCTCTTCCCCCAAAGAACATAATTAAACTTCATGTTCTGCTTTTAACACTGAAATTATTTCTTTGAAGGGAGGGATTCCAGACTAGTTGAGTGAAAGAAAAAAACTTTCTAAAACATTTAGCTCTTCCTCCTTGCCAAAACCTTTCCCATGCACTGCATTAGTAGTCTGCTCTGGATGGAGCTAATCACACGGATAAGGGGCCAAGAAATAAAAGCTTAAATACATAAGACAGGTAGGGACATGGAGGAAAATAACCAAGTAACTTGCTTTTCCTTTTAAGATAAACTCTTCTTAGTATCTGACTTCAATCTATTTCAAGCAGGTCACTGCATTTGGATCTGAAAAAAATGTCAATCTGATTTATGAACTTTTAGGAATTTTAGGAGAAATTGAACATTACTTTCATTAGCCCATTCCATAATGCTTTGGAAAACAAGCTCAGAAGTTGCACCTGTATGCTAAGATCAAATGGTTATGCAAGAACAGCTTATCTCATTCAAAGAAAAGTTATCTAGTGGATATGAGAACACTAGAGTTTGCTTTCCATACCTGCAAAAGTCCTATAACAATACACTTTCACATAATACCTAGGACAAAAGCACAATTGGGATGAATGTAAACTCACAACATCTAATGCTGTAGGAATAAAAAAGACCTCTACCTAACCAAAGCAAGCCTTGGAAATATTTTTGTTGCGGCAGCTTAAAGCTGTTTTTTCTTCTTTTGCCCTACATAAATTATTCATTACAGTCCTCAAATCTGGGTGGATTAAATACCTGCTGCTGGTTATCGGATGCTCATTGCCTAAGGATCAAAAGTAATGAAATTCTGAAGTAATTTTTTTAACACACAGCTGAGAACCTGGCATTGCACTCTCTGTACAAGACTGTGATGCATCATGAGAAACAGCTAGAAAATGTTAAAAACACCAACAGTACACACACAGAAGCCTCTTAATTGACAAGGAGGGATCAAACCCTGAAAAGGCCCAAAATAGTACAAAAAGCTTGACAGATCCCAAGGCAAATTTCAAAACCATAAAAAGACTTGGTACTCTTCAGTGTGCACACTGAGGTTTGGCTGGACATATATATATAT